GTACATAACCCTGCAGTACGGGGGAGCGACTACAGGACTGATGAATCGGTAGCTACCTGATAAACACCGTCAATTATCGATTACTTTTACAAGGCAATGTCCTAGGCGGTAGTCACCATCGGCTCTCTCTGCACTACCGGCAGTTACTAAAGTAGTCACGTGGTTTATGGGCGCCCTCTGTCGTAGTTTTTCGCTCTTCTGCTTACGACTGGTTCGACTCTGCACTACCATGTGCACTACCATGGGTTAATAGAGTAGCTACTTACCTAGGAGTCGGTGCAGTAGCGGGTCTAAAGTAGCGATTGACTCCAGCAGTACTGGAGGGAATGTACCCGAATATATATACATACAAGACGTTTCCGCCTTCGATCCACGCCGCTGTTTTTTTTTTTTGTAATTTCTCACGCACCGCCGCGTGTTACGACGCAGAGGAATCATGTAGTATGTACACATTTTTCATGATATCCATCGAAATATATCGCTTGCAGAAACTATGTAATATAATATAATAATATAAATGCCGCTATATAAAAAAAAATTAAAATTTTTTTTTGAATAATTTGGAGCCGCTGAAAACGAATATACCTTTCTTTATTTTTCGAAAGAACAAGCGTAACTATAAAAAAACATTGTGAAAACGTTTTTCGGTCGGAAGCGTTTATCACAGTTAAATTGGGGTCGAACATTAGTAATGTGACGATTTTTTGTATAGTAGTTAGTAAATTTTCTTTCTCTATTTTAAGGCTAGTCCAAAAACGTAATTTGAGGAACTTAGGTGGTTGTGGAATCGTAGCAATTCCAAATATGTACACGATTTTTTCTCACTCTAAAACGCCTAGAACTATTTCAAGAAATGAAAATATTTTTTAAGGGGTGCATCGCAACTTAATACTCCAATAACTTTACCATTTTTTGATTAATTAATTTTTTAAATTAAAATAGAACTTATTTTTAGAGAAATAAAAGACCGTGTAGGTGAAGTGGTAATCAGTGCGTGCTTTCACTCCGCAGGGCCTGGGTTCAAGCCCTGGTCGAAGCAACATCGCAAAAAAATATAGAAAAAAGAATAACAGATGTTGTCCCTCGGCAGGCCTCCGTTCGGAGTCGGCGTAAAACTGTAGGTCCCTCTGCTTTGTGTGATTACATCAAGGCGTACGCCACAAATCGGAGGAGAAGCTTTTCGAAACACTAACATATGTGTAAGCGCCAATCTATTAATATTATTAAATCGTGTAACTCAAGAACTTTTTTTGTTCAGCGCTAGGCATTCAGCATTTCAACTCAACTAATTCAAGAAGGAGTTAAATAAAATTAAAATCTAAATAAGAGTTTCGAATGCTTAAGTTCCAGAGATGACATGAAAAGATTAGTACCTTCATTGCTACCTATGCTCTTTACCCCACATCTGTACCTCCTGCTAAACGTGTATTAACATCTGTAGGGACACGAATTTCGATACCATACGATATCATATCGATAGTTTTGGCGTTCGATACCGATACTTTTTACTCGATAGTTTTCAAAGGATATTTTTTTCGAATCGAGTACCAGAATCCTTGTATCGTATCAAATCGGAAAGGTGCATTATAAAGTAAATGTGACTAATAATATATTGTCGTTTATATTAAAAATAAATGTCTTTTATTAAATTCTTTTTGATATGCTTAAGGAAAAGTACATATGGGCATTAAAGAAAAACGTCAAGATTTGAAAACTCTGGGAATTGGTCAACACTATTTGTAGTAATATTTGAAATATTTAAGACAAATTTTTCAAGTTCCAAAATGTAAAAATCTTTCCTGCTTTTTTTATTAGCCGAAGTATCTGACGTCACGTTGAATGGCATTACGCTACTAACATCTCCATTGAAACTTTTTTGTTAATATTGTTTTTAAAAAAATTTTTAACGCAAATAAAATATGAACTTTACGTCGAATATATTTTTTATTTTGACTTCAGCGCACCCCAGCGGTTCCATTTATTGCAAATCTATGTCGTACTATAACGTACCGCTGAAAACGCCCATATGTCTATACTTGATATGTAAAGCAATATAGATATATTTCGGGCTTTACAGAGTCCAATATTCAGATTTAGTTTTTTGAATTTGGTGTCGATATGGGGAATATCGAATCTCTTTATCCCGATAATAATTTTATATCGATACTTTGAATGAGTACTATATTGATCCTTTAGGTTCGATATCGTGTCCCTAAACATCTGTAAAATTTCTGTTTTCACTTTGTGACGTTTTCTCATGTGGGCAACTGGCTGTCTTAACATTTCATTTCCAAAATGTTATCAATTCAATCAGATCGATCTGTTCCCAATGTAAATGGCGCGGTAAAATGAAAATTGAAGCTCTGAACACATCGAAAACGACATCACCACACGACACGACATTAAGGATCTACATAATCTAAACGCCTTGTCGACGGCGACATGATTTTTTTGAACGCGGCAGCAACATCATGAATTTGTTGGAGTTTGACATAAAAGAAGAGGAAGAATCTTATCTGTCGCTAGAAAAATAGAAATAGATCCAATCTGGCCACAGCTACATTTTTGGCTAGTCGCATTGTTGCCGTGTCGTCGCCAAAATAATTATCTACATAAGAGTACGTGTTTAAATAATTTGACAGCTGTGGTCCGTAGCCCGTCGTTTCCAACGTGTTCCAAGCTTGAGTTTCTAACTACGACGACGCCACCGCCGATTCTTTTTAAAGTTGACGTATACGCCGCCGCAAAGCCTATTGGTGTAAACCTCTAATACATAGGTACAGCGTAACAACATCGCAAATGGAAAAAGTCGTGACTAATATTTTAATTTTTTTCCATAAAATGATGTGGGGAGTTGTAATTCGATGAAATCCATCATATAAATCAGAAAGTGAAGTTTGAATTTTTTATTAGTTATGACTTTTTGCGTTTCAACGATGATCTTTGTTACGTCTTTTTGCATTTCATGCCTGGTTTGATTTTATAAAACTTAAAAGCTGAAATACAATGCCGACGAACGGCGAACTCATTATAGCGAATTTCGCGCTGCCATAATTAGAACACCCGCAAGCATATGAAATTGAGCACAGCCAAAGCGAAATGCGAAGTTCGCTCGGCGGTATTTCATGGCGTATTTCTGTTTTACTTTCAAAGTTTTAGAAGGAAACAATATAAACACGAATTATTTTTGTTGTTTGAAAAATATAGTTGTTGTAATAATCTCTCTTTGTTTTATCGTCGATGTTTTTGAAAACCACCCATCGACCAGTTACAAAACCGCCTAGTCACCGTTGTGGCAAAAATTAAATTTGGTATCCTGAACTCCAGGCATCGAGATTTATGCATAAAAATCGTTAAATCGTTATTAAAGCAACATATTTGTAAAATAATAGCTAGAGAAAATACCGCCTATCAAGGCAATGCCTTCAAAGAATAAACTGTTTTTTCGCTCTCCTGTAAAATTTGAGTGCCGTAAGATAGGCGGTTTTGCTATTGGGAGATGGGCGATTATGCAAAAACATCGACGATATATTTGTTATCAAATGCTCATTTCTAAATATGGTTTAGTTTTTTCTAAATACCAAATGGTATCAGCTGTTTTCGCTACCGCTCTAATTCTGTTAAAGTAGGCGAAATACCTGAGCGAGCTGTGTACGAAAGCATCGCCTAATTCGGCGAACTGGGGTCCCTAAATTGGAGCGCTAAGCGTTGCGTTTTCCGTTGCCAACGAGTGTCAGCGCGCGCTATCCCCAAATCAACGCGGCGTAATTTTTGACATTTTCTCATTTCCTCTCGTTTTTATTCTCGATTCCTTTTTCACTTTTTGGTTCTTTCTATTTCTTTCCATCTTCTGCATCCAACTTCAACAAGTAACGCCCTGTCAAAAATGAAAATTCCATTTGCTCTGCGCTAGCGCCCCGTTATTGGGGATGCCCCATACAAATTGTACGGGCGTGAGGATTTTTGACAATTGTTTGGCGCTTGACGCGCCAATTTAGGGACGGCAGGAAGTTTGCCGTTCGCCGGTATTGTACTTCAAGAATAATAAAGATTAACACCAATCTCTCTTTGGAAAAATGCATTAAAATTCTTCGATATTTTGGGCGGTTTTATTTTTTCAGCGCTAGAGTAAACAGCGTTGCACATAACAAATTCAATGAGTCAGTTAAAAAGTGGTGAGCGCAAGAAAGATCCACAAATACCTACATATGTATGTACATTAGGGTGCTCCAAAAATGCATGTGAAAAAGTAAAGTCGGCATTTTTATGCTCTCACCCCCTAGGATTGTTCGATAACGAAAAAACATACCTACATATATTTTTTTATTTTGAAATCATACAATTTTTAGAGGTCGCTCAACACGCTCAAGTTTTCCATGCATTTTATGTGGAAAATACAACTTTACGTAGACATGGTATATAATATTTTCCGATGGGATAACTCTGCTTCCCTTCAGGAGATTCCCTATAATAATACCCAATTATTTATTTAACTATTCTTTCATTGTAACTATATTTTATAGGTCCGCCAAAACTCCCATAAAAGGACAGAAAATGCAATGAGGGGATAAATAAAAAATCTTTGGTATTAAAAAATGGTTAAATAAACAATTGGGTATTGTTATTGGAAGTCTCCTGAAGAGAACAAGAGTTTTCCGATCGAAAAAAGTTGATTTTCAAGAATTCTATACCATTTCTACGAAAAGTTGTTTTTCCCATGGAAAACTTTGAGCGCTTTGAGCGACCTCAAAATATTTTTAATTTCAAAATATAGAACAATCCTAGGTTGTGAGAACAATAAAATTCCGACTTTACTTATTTTGCTCCACCCTAATGTGCATACCCATATATTGTGTGTACAATGCAAGTCGCATGAAACAGCGAAATCGAATTGTGAGAAAACGAAATGTTATTGACCGGAGGAATTGTTTCACGAGGAGCACAACGAACGTTGGTGGAATGAGCAGGCGAGATTTCGAATGTCTATAAGAGAACTGGCTGGGTTGTTCTGCAGTCTAGCAAAAGCGAACGGCGTGTTAACATGTGGAGTACGGCGTGGTCAATTCAAGCAACTGTTGAATTGTGTTTAAATAATTAATATTGAAGTGTTTAAAGTTGAACGCAAGAAATGGAATAACTTAAGTCACCAAAAGCGAAATAAGTTTCCAATGCAAAATTAAAAATCAAGCAATTGAGTTCAAGGAAAATCATGAGTAATTGAGAGAAACATATTCCAAGTTGGTGGAAGAAATTAAAGAAAAGAAGAGCAAAAACTTAAAAAAAAGTAAAGAAATAAAACAGTTAGAAAAGTGATCAGAAAAACAAATTTCAATTATCCAACTAAACTGACAGTATTTTGAAGCTCAGTCCACACATGTTCATACATGCATATGTACTAACATATTTAATACACGGAGCAGGTTGTTAAGATTTTGTTAGAAAATTGGCAAAAATCCACAAATTAATTAAAATAAACAAAAGGAGCTCATAAACTTTCTTTTGTTTATACGCCATAGATGTATGTATTTAATCGAAAAACGTATTAAGTGAAGTTTTGAAGTATCTTCCCATCACTTTTTATTCATGAATTGTGTACTTTGCCCATTGTTTATCCATATTTACATATCTGCAAAACGTCTTCGAACAAAAATTACGCGCACAAATTATAAAACAAAAACTTAGAAAACATACGGAGAATTTTACTCGTATTAACAGAAAATAAAAATAACGCAACGACCGGAGCTGAAGAAATTGTTGTACACAAAGGTCAACTAGTGGAAATTAGCAGCGTCAAGCCAAAGAGAAACCAAATAAATACATAGGAACAGAAAGAGCAGCATAAAAGGTTCGTTTTCTTATATTGATCCCTCTGTTGGGTAATAAAAGCGTATATATACATACATAGGTTCACATATATAAAACATGTACTGATGCACATTTTATGCATAATATGCAGTTTGATGAGTAAGAAGGGCTGAGTTCCAAGTTGGTATATTGCAAAGCATCGGCCTCTTTTATTTCTAAACTATAACTGATGGAAATGACAAATTTGCGCAACTAAGTTCCAATTCGGCCTTTGAACATGGTTGCGCATATTGGACATTTCCATCAGTTATAGCTTAGAAATAAAAGAGGCTGATTGCTTTGCCAACTTGGAACTCAGCCAAGATATCGTACATAAGATGATGCAAGATTTAGCCATGCAATGTAGGCCGAATTATCTATTCATATTAAAAATTAATTAAAGTAAATCCTTTCACGATAATTTTTAGGTTTTAAAAAGTATGGCTGACTTCGAAAACGTATCAATACAATGTTTGGATACTGTTATACTGCGGTATTCAAACTGTTTTTTATGCAGAGTTGCGAATCATTGCAACCATATACATACATTGCACATTTTAAATATTCAATATAACAATGAACAATTTTTCTGAATATTCCATTTTTAAAACACCAATGGTAACCAAAAACAAACGAAGCATAAACTTTGTTTCTGATGCGCTGATTGCTTCAGCGATGCATTTCGATAACTTTTCGGATGCGTTTTGGAAAAGTATACATTGTCGCTATTTTGTAGTTCGGCGTTATGGAACATTATACTTTGTACGTATGCAAAGCAATTCACGTTTTGGAAGTCAGCCTATATGTGTATGCATATCGCTCATTTACTTCAATAGTGTTATAACCCAAAAAAGGAAAACTCGAGAAAAAGGGCTTTAAAGTTTTAAACTTACTATACTGCCATAGTAAAAATAAATACAAATTTTGTTCTAGTGAGATACTGGTAATCGGTACAGCCAAGGCTTTTCAAACAGGTAGATAGGTAGTAGCATTAGAGCAAAAACAAAATTTTTGTGTATTTTGTTGTTGCTTATGATATCGAAAGTGTCAAAAACTGTTCTGATATTTTCGTTTTAATCAAAGCATGCCATGTGAAATATAAAAAAAAAAATTTTTGCAACTTTCTTTCATAATAAATTTGTTTGGTTCTCCAAGCGTTGATCCATCCTTTGCAGGGCCTAGTAACCAGCGTTTGTGCTGCTGAGTTAGGCGAACGTTTCGAAAAGCTGCTATTCAAGCGCTTGTTTTGTATGGAAAAAGGTTTCACATGCAAATAGATTTTAACAATTTTGTTTTTTTGTAAGACATACCTCCCATGTAAACTTAACCTAAAAACCCCTTAAAATACCATAAATGATATTATTACTTTATGAGGTTCATGGGCGTAGCTCATGTAGCGTATTTTCTTCAATAAACACAGTTTTCGAAAATATAAACGAAATGGAAAACACTCATTGAGAACATATTTTTAATGCAACTTGAATATTTATAATGTTTTAATAAATTTTTTTTTCTAAATTATAAAAATATTTTTTTTAAAAGCTCCAGTGTTACTACGCTTACAAAAAAAAATCTCCAACTTTCGTCAAATACTTTAAGAGAAAATGAGTTTTGAAAAAAAGATTGGTTAAAAATGTAATTGCTTATAAAAACTTTAAAAATTAAAATTTTTCAAAAAAAATTCTCAGAATCCCTTCACATCTACATATAAACCTCTATACTCACAAATTTACACGCAAAAATTCCAACTTGACTGAAATCCGCCGTTCAATTGAGAAATTTTCACCCAAAGCAGAAAATTTTCCGGTAGGTTGCTTTGTACCTTATAAGTTTTGCTACGTGTTAAGTTAGAAAACCTCTCCAAGGCTCTTAAATACTAGAAAAACTGTCAAATTTCGACAGCAACTGGCTCTCTAATATTAATATATTGTTTTATATGTATTAAAAAAAGGTGAAAGTCAAGCTCAAGCTCAAGAAAAATTACAAGAAATATGTTTCATTATTTTTCTCGAGTGAAAAAGTACTTTGCCGGTGATGTGAATTTTCTTAAAGAATATTCGCTAGCTTAGAGTGCAAAGTTGCTAAGTCCATTTTTTTCAATTGTACAGGAGACACAAAAAACGTTGCTAAGTAATTTTCTTTAAGTATTTTGCAAAACTTTGAATGCAATGTTTCGCGTTTTTCATTTACCCTTCATTAAAAAAAAAATAATAAAGTCTGCTTTTTTACAAATTTTGTAGATAATTTTGTGACTTAGCAAATTTTCTACTTTTTTCTTAAATTTTTTTTGTTGGACTTAGCTAATTTTCCATAAATTTTTCCAATATGTACAATACGAAAAATCCATCTCGTAGGTACATTTGTTAGAACAAATTGTTTAGGTTCTTTTAAAAAAAAATAATAAAACAAGTGAACAGTGATTTTGTTGCATCAAATGTTAAAGCTGTTTTTGATAGACTTTATGCTGATTACTATAAGTGACCATCAATTCAACGTGCAGGGATGGTATTTTCAGAGATAGTACTCGAGACTTCTAGATTTAATTTAAGCCAAATATCACCTTTAGTTTCTTTGCTATGGCTTCTTAAATATTGCAAAAAACGCAATTTTTTTACACTTTGACCTCGTTTTTTTCCAAATCTATAGCTGATGGAGACTTTATACTTACGGATTCGTAATCAGCATAAAAAAGTCTATCCAAAACAGCTTTAACATTTGATGCAACGAAATTGTTCCCTTGTGTAATAGATTGGCGCTTACACATATGTTAGTGTTTGGTCGAGCTTCTCCTCCGATTTGTGGCGTGCGCCTTGATGTTGTCACACAAAGGGAAGGGACTTACAGTTTTACGCTGTTTTTCTTTGCAGAAATACACTCGGAGGTTTGCCATTGCCTGTCGAGGGGCGACCGCTGTTAAGGATAAATCTTCTCTTCACTGAACACTCACAACTTCTAGAAACACTAGTTTACTTATGTTTATGCACACAATATAAAAATTGCAAATATAGGAAAATGACAAAAAATTTTGTTAAAATTTTTTTTTTATTTTAAAATAATCTATATATAATTGCTCAGTCATACGACTTAGTTAGGGCGATCTGGTGTAGCTACAGAATTGAGTTGTATATCAAATTAAAGTGCGAGCTGCAATTGCGATTACCGTGTTTGTCACAAAAGTAAAATTGGCAGAAAAATTAATAGTGAGCAGTGTAATCTATAGAAAAATATTTACCAAATATCCGTGGAATTTTGATCTGGATTCGTGTTATTCATAATTTCGAATTTTATTTCGCGAAAGCAAAAAATAAAAATAGCTTAGATCACTTTCTTTTTTAAACGCCTAGGATATCACTGACAAATTTAAAGGGCCCAGGATGACGGTAAAATTCAAAATTCTAAAAATACCGGTATACATATTTATGTATATTAAAATTTGTAGAATCAGTGGTAGAATTTTTGTACTGAAAGTGTTAAGAAAGCTTTAGTTTAAAAGCGTGATACCAAATACCTTTCACCATGAAACGGCGCCAATTTTAAAAGATTATTGCGTCTCAGACTACGGCTAATAAAGCCCTTGGTCGGATATTGTGAAAGGTAGGACTATACCTTAAAAATTACTGTTTTCTCGCGGGCCACTGTACGAAGCTATGCGTAGAGTAAAGCCCTTTAATAACTTCAAAATTATCTTGGGTTATCAGGTCTCTAGCAATACAAGATTAATTGTTGTCTTTCGCGAAGTTCTTTAAATAAATTTTGAGCTAAATAATGAGGTACATTCATGAACATCACGTTTTATTTTTTACTTAAGTTTAAATACTTAGTATCTGCAAGTATTTCTTTAATGCATTCACCCGAATTTCGGGGGGCTATTACTAGTTTGTTTATAATCTGAATGATTTTCATCATATTATTATCATAAATCAGTAATAGCAAGTCTAGCCTTCAATTTGGTAATTATTACGTGCCGATCGAGTAACATTTACCAAAGTTATATCGAAAAACTTAAGTGGATCTCCAGTTTTTTTCTAAAAAAAAATCTCTTCAATTTTATATATAACCTTTAAATGAAAGAACCGGATTACAGAAAAGTATGTCAGGGAGTGACTTTTTTCGTTCAAGCTGAATGCAAAGCAATATCGTTCAATTGGATTCACAAGGATTCCCCAGGATATGTTAAAGAGTATTGCATTTACCTATCTACAGTTACTTTTTTACATAATGGAATTAACTAAAATATTTATGTAAACACTTGTTGCACGTCCCCTACTTTCATATAACGGCAAATTTAGAAACCACGAAAATGGACTTAAAATGGGTCCTAATTGTATTATGTTAATGTATGCAAATACTTATATTTATGCTTGCAACTACTATTAACTTATCAAACGATTCCTAATCTTTGACAATACATGTTTGACTTCATTCACCACGATCTTGAAAACTGACCAAATCGGCGTGACCAAGTCCATGGTAATTTTAATATTATATAATCATCCGAAAGCATTAAAACGTTTGAAATAAATCTCGTCTCACTTTTTTGTATTTTTCACTTGGTTGCTGAAGTAATGAAGAATTGAAAATTCATAAGGGAAAATTATAGTTTTCTTATTTTTTATTTTAATATCTTTAAAATTTGTAGACTTATTGAAAAATGATAAATAAACGTGAGGCACTAAATTTAATAACCCTTAATTTGATATATCGTCCTGTTTATAACAATTAACGCATTCCATAGATATTACAAGCCAAAGTTTCATTTTCAAAACTCATACACTTTGATTCAATTGCTCGGGCTAAAGATAAGTTTTAAATTAATCTTTCTTGGGCAATAACATTTGGCTTAGACCTAAGACATCATAATAATACTATTACAATACGGTCAAATGCGTTTTATTATCCCCCATACAAAATCGACCCAACCTAATATACATAAATAATGTTGTTGCAAAAACCCTCTATACAAATCGAATTCGATAGCGTAAAAAGAAATATTAATATTTT